AACTTCCACAGCACACACTCTAAGTCCTCTCTCAGTGTTCATCACTCTCAATACTTGCTGACTCAGACCTGAGAGAGGTAAGGGAGTAGAAGCTCCTAGAAAGAGCTAATAAAATATTAATAGAGCATTGAAATTGCCCTTCATTACAGTCAGGACCCAGTGTGGAGAGTCATTCTAGGCTGGCACCAGAGCACCCATACCAGCTACAAACTACGAAGAATAAGAACATCTCCTATTTTTAGTCCTGTCAGGGCTAAAGTATCAATTTCAGTTTGTTTTGTTTTGCTTTTACTCTGTTGTTTTTCTCTTGTTACTGTTGCAAATCATTGCCAGTCCTTATTCTCATGACCCACATAAAAATCATCACATGCTCTCTTTTAGCACTACAAATGTGAATGAGGTAAGCCCAGTGACATGCATGTGATTATACTTAACTCATCTCCTTCAGAAGGTACAAGCCCAATCTATGCCTTCTGGACAGTCCTTTCCAGAAGTGGATCATAAAGATCAAAAAAGTGAACAAGCTGCATTATATGCCATATGAAAATTGTTATGAAGCATTAAAATATCCCCTAAAGCTTACAACACACGTATTACATACAAGAAACCCTGACAACATAAAATTAATTCCATGTTAGTCAGACTCCAGGCAATACAGCATCAAAACCAGAGAAAGCATGTCTTTATTTTTAAGTCTCATAAAACTCAAATGCACTACAGACACGACTGAACAAAGCATGCATAGTTAATGCCGCTCTTCTTAACTTCTTCCATCCACAAGTTAGTTCTGTTAGTTCACCAGAATATTTAAGTATTTCCCAGTAAGATTACAATTATATTTTAGTGGGTTTTTTCCCCACCACTCTCCTGTAGTTTGCACAGACCACTGCCAGCATTTTGAACAAGTCCAGGAACATATGTACTGCATGAAATCAAGTAATCTTATACCCAAGTAAAGTGGTTGTAATGGCTGAAGCAATACTGCTGCCCATCAATAGCATGGAGACAGCATGGACCATGGAGTACTTTCAAAGACCTGAGGTATTAAAATTAAATTCAAATTTCAGGTGAAATTCCAGCAGTAATAAACCTCCTGGTGAAGAACTCCACACACCAGCTGCCAACAAATTGCCACCAGAGGCACAGCCCTCAAAAGCAATGACAAATAACAGGTAAACTTCAGAGATGGGCAATCAAAGGAGGTGAGTGCTCTTCAATGAAAAGCAATCGTGGCAAGTCATAAAACAACATTTGTAACACTTGAGCAGTTATCTGCTTGAGATAATGGAGTCAAAAGAACTGCTAACTAATTGCAGAATAAGGCCCCTGGCCCCGATCTCTCCCATTCATTTCAGTGGGAGCCAAATTGCAGGTTTATCTAATAATTCATATAAATCCCTCACAAAAATGCTAAATGACTTCTGTAGTAGTAGATGTACAATTTTCTTCAGGGAGAGGACACAATTATCACTCAGGGCAAAAGGACAGATCCTGCTACAGGTGGCATTTTTACTCTGCCACATGCATCATAAACATCATGCTGACAGCTTAATTTTCTATAAAACAATTCACTAGGAACTCCTGTTTACTACTTTAAACCTAAAACCACTATAGTGGTTGCACTAGACAGTAAAATGGCAACTTAATTTTTTTTTTTGCTGCTATTGAATCACTCGGGCCACATTCCTATGATTTACTTAATCAGCACAATTCTTGTCCAGTCTGATATTCTAACCAAGACCTTGCAGCATATATATATTTTTTTTCCTAGCAGACCTGTTATGGTGTATTTTTTCACATATACACACATCTCTTCCCATAAAGTTGTATTTTACTGCCTGTCTAAAAAGAGTTAATGCCTTGCAGAGGTATTTCTCAGATCTCCAAGAGGTTCAAAGCAATCTGTCTAAGCAACACTCTTCCAAGTATTTGTAAGTTTTTCTAAGCACATATTCTAGTATGCTGTGCTGGAACAAAAATTGGTTTGTTTCACATGTTAGAACTTGTTAGCCCTTTGGCTAATATAAAACCTTCATGATCTTTGCTGGTTGTGATTGGCTTGTTTAATAAAATGACACATAGATACAACATATTTGCAGAATGATACCACAGCTCTGTTGACTTGGCTTGCTTCCTCGGACTTGGCTAGCATGAAATGCCTCTGAGCAAGTTTTTCACAACTCTCCTCTGTTTTCCCTCTAATCAGTTGTTATGGATTATTGGCAGCAGTTAACAGAAATACAAGACATGCAGTCATGGAGATAAAAGGACACTTCCTTCCAAATAAACTAGAAAGAGTAAAATCTCAGATTATGCCAAGCTGGAAGGGACCCGCAAATATCATCAAATCCAACTTTCAGCCTCACGCAAGACCATCCCTAAGAGTGCCTGAGAGCACTGTCCAAATGCACAGAATAATTAGTTTTCTGGACTAAATGCATCCAAGTACCTACTAAACACAGATACACAAGAGTTACGGCAAGTTATTTCCGTATTGATATCAGGAGAGTCATTAATTCACCACGACTTCAGTGCAGTTCAGTCACAGACATTCATTACTGTAATCACTACAGATGAAGGTGCTGCATATATAAGCATGTGAGAACCATTAGGGTCAGAAGACCTTTTGGTCACCAAGCTGGCTTCTGGTACAGCACAGGCCACTATACTTCAGCAAAATGCTCCTGCATTGAGCTCAACAGCTTGACAAAAACAATTGTCTAAAGACATCTCAATGAGAAGACAGATGAAAAGGTCCCTCCATCTTCACTCCTTTCATTTGTAGTCTGTGCCAAGTGTTACTCATCCTCACTCCTGATAATTTGTGCTTTTCTTTCCATTTTAATTTTTCTGGCTACAGATTCCAAGCACTAGTTCTTGCAATAACTTTACGCACTAGATTAAACTATCCCATCATTTTCTCCATATGAAAATGCAATTTTTGTATGTAAGCTCTTACTTTTTTAATTCTCTAAGGTTGTTGGCAGAAAAGTTCTGCCAAAGCTTGTCAGACTTACTTAAGGCATCACCACTTGCCTCTCCACTGCCTTTCCAGAAAACTTTCAAGAGAAAGTGCCCATACCAAGCTGTTCCCATAACCGGTCTGGTTTAGTTTAAGTTGTGAATTATAACCAGTTCAAAGAAAAATAAACAAATTTTTGGTGATGGAAGGCACTTGCTCTCCTGTCAACTCATCCTGATGGGTGATATTCATCACCCCCTCTTGACACCCCCCCTCTCAGTAACTTTCCACTTGGTGTTTTGCAGATTCTCCTGGGCTGCTCTTACAGTTCATTGACACTCTTTTAAACAGAACAGACCCACATATGGCTAACAACAATTTTCCCAGTGCTACATACCAAGATAAAACACACCTGGTTGCTAGAAATTACTTTATCCTGATTTGCATATGACAAACAATTAACTGAATTTGCCTAACTGCACCATGATATGAGCTCTTACTGAGCTGCAAGTCTTCATTAATCCCTAAATAAATCCTTACATTATAATAAGCTCTTTCTGGCATATGGTTTCCTTTTCCTACTACACAACCTGCGTTCCTTGCTACTCCAAGCTGAACTTGTGTTGCACCATCTTAAAAAATTTATTTTTGTTGAAAGGTCCAACTGTGTCAAGTAATACACAGGATTTTCCTTCCTCCATCCTTTCCCATTTCATTAAGTTTTATGACATCACAAGGCATCCTAATATTGTTTTTAAATTTACTTTCAAAAATGTTTTAAGTACATAACACCAGGTTTAGCACACATACAGGAGGATACATAGCATAAATTTTAGTTTTCATACATCTTTTGATATTAACAAATAGTAGAAGTAAAGAGAACAGCACAAACTGACATTGGACAGAATGTATAAATTTTCCAGAGTCCTACAAAAATCTTGAGATCCTTTTACATTATTTTAGACAGCAACATGCTTAATCATGATCAAACATGCTTATTACATCACTAAGCATGACACAATCATGGCAGCTCGGCTGCGGCCGCAGTGGATGAACTTTGGTGTCTGATTATTTACTAAGTCTATTATGCCTAGCACTGCTCTGCTGTCCTCCAGTTGGTAACTGTCTTCCTACAGCAGTCTGAGGAGATTGTATACAAGTTACATTTAGTCTTGATGGAACAACAGTCCAGTGACTCTGCTGTCCACCACTACGCTGGGCTGTGCTCACTGCTCCATCAGTGGTGCTGACCAGCAGGCAGACTGGAGCACTGTGAGGACCACTTACATCACATCTCTGCTGAAACTGTACAAAGCTGAGCTGTCAAATGGACGGACTTTTAGGCAAATTTTAAAAGCTTTAAAAAAAAAAACCCAAACAACAAACCAACCTTAGCTGGTAAAGGTACAGTTAGCTAATTCTGCCTTTTCCCCCAGTTTTGCCAAGGACTCATCCGCCTTTCCAGGTCACAAGACAGCCCAAGGGAAGGTGACTGGCAGAACAGTTAGGGTTAAAACTACCTCGTTGCAAAACCAAGCTATGACTATATGGCTATGACTAACTAGAAGCTAGTGGAGCCCTAGATCAAAATCTTCATCAGGCAGGGAAGAGACAACTCTAAGCCTGTAGTGAATATAGAGATGTGAACCACAGAGCAGACGTCAAGAGGACAAAATGGAATCAGGTAATGACAGGGACACCACCTCTTCCTATCTAGTAACATGCTGGTGGTATCAACAGGAAATTAGTAGCTCCACAGGTACAGCAAGCTCTCCTCAGGCCAGGTAAAGGAGAATTGCAAAACAAAAAAAGTAGGCAACAACAGTGAAGGGTTAAACAACAGTGCTTTGAAACAGTCCCCCTTGGCTTGGACTGCTCATTATGTCCTTACTGTAACATCATGGCTTACGGAGTTTTGTAATTAAACAAACAAAAATCCCAAGGTAGTTTGCCTACATTACCTAGAGGACAGAAAACACTAGAAAAGAATTTCTGTTGTTACCATAGCAGACAAAGTGAATGAAAAGTAAACTTTTACCTCTTTTTCTATTTTGAGCAGCTTCTTTACTGCCACCTCCTTGTCCTGAGAAATCCATCGTGCTCGGTAGACACTCCCAAAACTCCCTCCACCGCAGTTCTCAAAAAACTGCAAGTCATCAAATTTAATTTGCACAAATGAAGCACTGGTAGACGACATCTCATAATGACAAAATATACCACAGCAAAACCTGTGAAGAGAAAAGCTTTTATTAATGCACATGCTCCAAGGATGAATGGACTTTCTTACCCATGCTCAGTCACCCCAAAATCAGAATCATAAGCACACTACAGTAAAATCCACAGGCCACAGCAGGAAAAGAGACTGAGAATGTGCATTCCAACAGGGAGTGCTAAAGTTTGCATAATTTTCACAATCTGGAGCTGGGGGACAGAAACAACTAACAGCATTCCTCAGAGCACTCCCGACGTTTCCCGAACACCTTGGAAGCAGCTCTGCAAGAGGCAGGCCCGTGGCCGCCTTCCCGGCGGACAGAGAGGAAGCTCGCTGGGCTCCGGGTGGCCTGCCCGCTGCGGCACGCCGGGCACTGCCGGCCCGATGCCCCGCACGGAGCAGCAGCAGCGGGGCCCCGCGGGCCGCCGCACCCGCGCACGCACCGCGCTGCACGGAGCGCTTCGTGCACGGATGTGGAAAAACCTGGCCGTGGTAAATCTCTCTTCCTGAGTGACTCAGTTCTGTTTGCACGTTGTAACAAAGCGCAAGTACAGGGTAATTCATCTGGGTTACATTATGTGAAATTCTGCAGCCTGTGCCAAGACTGGTGTCGGCAGTTTCAAGAGATGATCCCAAATCTGCTGACAGAGGAACAGAATGTCCTTCCCCGAGATTTCACGGTGATAAAGCTTATGGCTGTAGCGAATTTCAAGAAACATTATCACCTAAATGCATGAACAATGACTAATTTAGGTTTCTTTTTTTAATGATATAAGATCAGAAAGTTCAGGTCTTTAGTGGGACTGCAGGACATGGCTTACTCCAGAACCATCAACTGCGGGTTCAGTTCAGATGCACCAGCCTAGACAAAGTAGTTTTAATTACCAGCAAAGTGACTATACTTGCAATTAATGACAGTAAATTTATCAGCATAAAATGAGAGATTAGTTTTAATTAAACAAGCAAAGAAAGAAGTGGAGATTTTGGGTTGATGGTGAAAATTACACATCCAATTTCACTGGTAAATTACAGTACCACAATATACTATGTCTTTTGGGAACTTCCATTCCATAGGCTTTTTGACATGAAAGATTATGTGGTGCCAGAGCTGCAAAACACACCTGTGTTAACTCCTTGTAGGGTGACTGCCAGAATCTCTTTATGCCAATCCCTTCTGTAACAAACACAAAGGCATTATTTGCCCCCTGCCTTTCCTGATCGTGTAGCCACTCTGATTAAAATTTTGAGATATCATTTGATCAGAAATTTCTGGCACTATTTGATTGCAGCTATTCTCCAAATGAGAGATGATGATATCAACACTTCTACACACAACGTAACAGAGCCTCCTCTGAAACTGCCTGCTTCATTTTGTACCTCTTGACCACCCATAAAGAGAATGCTGACCAGACCATGACAACTTTACTATGTGTACTGAAGGCTTTTTAGCAAGGAGCAGACTTCAAGCCTTTCACTGACAGCCAGCCTGCAGACCTCCGGAAGAGGGAACACGAATGCCCTCTCCCCAGATCTACAGTCAGAGCAGGGGTTACCAGCAGGATACGAAATAAAGTCCAATGCTTCCAGTGCTCTGAAGCCTCTTCCCCAATACAAGTGCCTGAACTGTCCTGCCGACCTTCTGTTCTTGTTTAAACCTTGTTGCTGTTGCAATTTCCTGCCATCTCATAATCATCTTTTGCACAGCCTGCACACGTTTTCTGTAGAGAAAGCTCGAAGGAAATTGGTCAATCCTACAAACAAAGTGATATTTTAATGTTTTGCTCCTTGCCATTGCTGCTTAATTAGCAGATCTTCAGAAACAAAAGTTCATTTGCATTGTTTACTCTAGCAGTTACTCCAAGTTCATGCTCTGTACATGGTGTCTCAAGCATATGGGACATTTTACAAACAAATAAAACACATGGACTTCCCAACTCAAAAACCTCACAATTTAAGGCCACAGCCCTGCACACATTTATGCACACAGGTAATCACACTCAAGTGAACAATTTCCTTACTGACAACAGAATTAGCTAGAAGAGTGATGTTACTCGCAAAAGCATATGGACCAATTAGACCATAAATTTAACAGGAAGGTGGGAATAGCTGAAAACAGATCATTGCATTTGGGATGGCAGAAGGAAAAGGAAACAAAGTGAAAAGAAAAATACACCCGAGGAAAGAAATTTCTGGGCTTCACTATCTGAATTCAGTAGCTTTGAAGAGCTGTCAAACTATTTAACATTACTGTTCACCCAGAATCGCCAAATCAACCGTACAAACTAGTAAATTATTTGATTTCTGGAAATTACTCTAGCAGAGAATAACACGCACACCAGACACTGGACAAATACAAATGAGTACCTTTTGATGGGTCCTCCTTACTGCTTCAAACTTTATCTCAATTTCCATGCACTCATAATGCAGTGCCTGGCACACAAGCACTTGCAGAAGCTACCATTCATTCTTTAAACACCTTCTCAGTTTGAAATTTACCTACAGCAGTCAACCAGCTGCAGATCACAGGATCACACAGGGAATCAGGTGGCAAGACCTTTGAGATACTGTGTCCAATCCATGACTGAATACTACCATGTCAACTAGACCATGGCACTGAATGCCACATCCAGTCTTTCCTTTAACACCTCCAGGGACAGTGACTCCACCCTGGGCAGTCCATTCCAATGTTTAATCAGCTTTTCTGTGAAGAAATTTCTCCTCATGTCCAGCCTAAAACTCCCCTGATACATCTTCAGACCATGTCCTCTTGTCCTGTCACTGGTTGCCAGGGAGAAGAGGCTCACCTCTGCCTGACCACAACCTCTTTTTAGGTAGTTGTAGAGACACTATAAGGCACCAGCATACAGTAAGTTAATGTTATTTAAAGAATGATTCATTGGTTGGCATCAGGTTGTTCCAGATGCTTTTTTATTCCAGAGAAAGTAGAGGAGATTTACAAGAGACACTCTTTATTTAGAGATCTGTAATTAAAACCAGGCTGCATTAGTTTTCTTTTTCTAGATGAAACAACAGACCTGTTTAAACATTACTCCAATCCATTTTTGGATTCAGGGTAGGTAATCCTCAATTACAAATATCAATCTCTGCATTATGTTTGAGAAAACAACTGTTTAGATTAAAAATTGCAAGTGACAAATCCACACACAGTTATTAACTTGTCATCCTGTTTTAAAGACATTTAACAATCTTAGTTTATAAAACTGGTTAAGAAAAAAAATACATCAGGTATTTCATTAAATTCTATAGTCTTCCACTTGCATCTGAAACAAGCACAGCATTCCAACAACGCGTGGCACTTTTTTCAGCTTACACTTCTGCAGACAGGAGAGCAGCCTGCTGCAACACAGCCTCCAGCCTGGGGCCGTACAGCAACTCCCTGCACACAGCTCAGGAGGGTTTGGCACCCCACCCTCCTTCCCCACTCACAGTTTTGGGCTTGAAATACCATCACTGTGTAGCGGGGAAACACTGCCTCGACTGACTTTGTTGCTTGCTCTCAGTTAAATGAAAACATGACAATTCAGAAACAGTGAATGACAGGTATTTCAGGAAATTATTAAAGTGCTGGTTATTTCAAATATTCCTATGGGATCTGCCTGGGGGTAAAACAATTTTCTCCTTTTCCTGTTTTATTTCTAATAGTTAGCATGAGCTTGTAATCTTGCAGCAACATCTGCATCTTCTCCTGGCTCTTTGTTTTCTACAGTCATTTGTATTTGAGCGTGCTGTTGGAAGCAGTTCATTTCATACCAAAAAGTAGGAGATCTGAGTTGCATTTGGCAGTGTCTAACATCTGAAATTATTGTCTAACAATAGCATGCAACATGTCAAGACTATTACACAGAGTCACTTTGCAGCAAGCGAAGTCACCACATTATGTCAGCACAAGCTCAGTTCAGTACAGCAGTGATGCAGGTGTAGGAAACCATCCAGCATCACTAGCTTCTTGTGATTACAGCTCTTAAGGGGATTAATCCACATGTGGGTCCTGGTCCCACATTTGCTGTTTCCTCTAGACCCCCGCAAGGTGAGGGAACCCCCTCCAGGCACACAGGACCCTGCTGCAGGCTGCCCTGCATCTTAGCACAGCAGCACTGGAAGAACTCAACACATTCACTTCTACCTCCCTGCTCCCTACAAACTGCAATGTAGGGGAAGTGCTGCCATGCCCAACACTCTGCTTTATTCCACATACAAAACAGGAGACACTTCTGTTTGTCATTCAGCTACTGCTCCCAGAGTACAGACAGCTTCCACTTGAGGAACTTAAGAGACAGGAGGGAGGAAATAATTTACAAATTGCACAGTAACTGCAACTCATACTTTGTTTAGTGCGTGGCTGCAAAACTGAAAATTGCATCTCCCATCTTACACGTGCATCTGACGCTGCTCAAGTATTCAATTACTGCAGGAACAGCCTTTGTAATTTATTATGGGAAACAACCATGCAACTCCCTCTGCCCCTCACTTTACTGTGTGCTTCCCCAAAGTAGGATTCAGCGCTTCTTGCAAGAAGGCACACTGCCAACATATTGCCAATAAAGTAGTAGCACACCACACTTGTGCTATCTTAAAATACACAGCTGAATGTGCCAAGTTTCCTTATTTGGCAAAACAGCCCATTTGCTTTCAGGATCTTTGACCATCCATTTTTAGACCCAAATCATCCTTTGTATCCAACAGGGCCTGCAGTCCTTGAGCATACCAACCTGGATTTTTTCAGCAGTATATTTATACAGAGTTTAAAAAAATAGATATTAAAAAAAAAACAGATAAAAATGTCCAACAACACCCCCACCCCTCGAACACCAAAACACGGTTAACCATTATCTTGTCCAAACAGAAAACAGAAAAGGAGTTAGTGACATTGAGCTACAAAAGGTGCTGCAGAAAAAAAGTTTTTATAAATTTAAAAAAAACCCTTAATCATATCATGAGCTGTTGATCGATAAGATGCAAACAAACTCCAAGCATAAATCCAAATTAAATACAGCGTAATCTTCTAATCTCCCAATGACATAAAATAAAGCCAACAACCCTTACAACTCCTAAACTTTCTTAATCAGACTGAGTAGCAGTCCTGCAGATGGTGAGACTGGAGGCATGACTCTGCCTACCTTAGTTACAGACTCAACAACATTTGAGCCTGTCCTTTGTCAGAACCTAAGAATTCTGCATAACTTCCATTAATAACATTTCTAATTTTATTTTAATTTATATAACCATTGCTACAGAAAAATGGCTCAACTCCACCTAAACAGTTTGAGTACTGAGGAAAAGAATGTGTGTCAACGGCAGAGACTGAAGGTTTTTAAGACTTCACATTAAATAAAAAACATTTTATCTCTGAAAACCCCTAAAGTGGTCATTTCACTTACATTATACCTTGTAAGTGATGCCTGCCAGTAGTACACACACAACACTTTGCAAGAAAGCAAGGCAGCTA